GAGAGAGAGAGAGAGCGTGTGTGTCCGTGTGTGTCTGTGTGTGTGGTGGGTGAGGGGGGCGCCGTGGATGCGATATTGTGCTCGCCCACTATCAGCTGCTGCACTTCCTCTCTCAAATGGATGGGTTCTTTCGCTCGCGACACCACCAATCGTGCAAATCTCTTTTTTATAGAAAGGCAGGGTGTTGGCCACCAGCTACAAAAGACGGCTCTGCAGATCAACAAGGTGACGTGCAATCAAACACATACATATACTTCTTCAGAAAAACGGCAATGACTAGGGGGCTGCACACACGCCTTGCGCTGCTGCTGCTGCTTCTGGGTGCGTGCACAGCTTTGCAGCAGCACCAAGTTGCAGCTGCGGCCGCTTCACTGAATGGGAACCCGAGCCATGAACACCCCACCCCTTCCCCAATTCCAGAGGTCAACGATTCAAAAGGGACGAAGAAAGAGGTCGCCGAGATTCAAAAGAGCGGTCTTCTCTTGACCAAGTTAATTGTAATAAACCGTCACGGTCACCGTGCCCCAAATGCGCCCTATTGGGATATGTGTCCCAATGATAAAAAGAATCAATACCGATACAAGGTGGACGCTGAGGATCTCACCGCGCGTGGCATGAAAGAAGAGTACGGATTCGGTCGGTACATGCGGCACAAATATCGAGACTTCCTTGGCAACCGCTTCAATCGCACTTTGCACTTCTTCCGCGCTGTTGGCGAGCCGCGCATTCTTCAGTCAGCGATGGCGGTGGCGCAGGGGATCTTCCCCGATGGCTTCGGTCCTGGTGGATATCTTCCGAGTCGCCCGCAGTTCGTCCCTGTGTTCTCCGACATGGACACACACGAGTACCTCTTGGACGATGTTCCGTGCTTCCGGCGCGCGGAGAGCGACATGTACCACTGGCTCAACAACAGCCTCAGTGATTTCGTCGCTGACCCCAACGTGGCAGAGGTGGTGAAAAGCGTGAGGGCAGCGTGTGGGCCGGCGGTGGGGAAGAGCCGCCCGCTGTACGCGTACCTCAAGACGGTCGCGGACGGCATGACGTTTAACGCGGATTATGGTTTAAAAGTGTGTGGTGGGAACGTAACACCGGAGGTGCTTTTCAAGATCCGCAATGTGTCGCTGGGGCTTCTGATGGCGCGGCTGTACCACACCGACGTTCAGCAGACGTACACCGCGGTGGATCTGCCGTACCGCTTCCTCCGGCTGATGGAGCCCCGGTCGGCGCACAAGAAGAATAACAGCAAGGACAACAGCAGCACGAACAACACCACGTCGAGTGACGATGAAGAGGACAAGAGGCGTGATGCTGTCTTATACTTTGTGCATCGCGAGGCGCTCTACGCCTTTGCACAGTTCTTCGGCTTTCAGTACAATGTGCCTGGGCTTCCTAGTGGGGAGCTACCGGTGGCCTCGGCGCTCATCATGGAGAAGCTGCAGCCCGCCTCGGCACTGGCTGGTGGCAAGAACAAAACGAGCTATGTGAAGTTTGTGCTGTGGACACCATACGACGGCACGAGCACGGTGGAGGTGCCGCGCTGCAAGATACCGCAGCTGTGCCGCGTCGACGAGCTGCGTCAGCTCCACGACGACCGTGTGGCGCGGACGGGGACGTGGGACAAACTGTGCAACTACACCTTCTCTGAAATGGACCACAACACTGATATTCGTTAGGTCTGCTTTATGTGTGTATGGGAGAGAGAAAAGGGTGGTGGCGATCACGATGATATACCAACGCGAGGAAAAAAAGATAACAGTGCAGAGACACACGGAGGCGTGGGTGAGGCGTACTAAAAGTCAAATACCTTTGTTATGTACGGCGCCTCAAACACGCGTGCGGGGTATTTTTGCTAGTAGAGAAGGTAGCTGAATCCGTACGTGGGCAAATAGTCATAGCCGTATAGGCGCCCACACTCGTTTGTTCTTTTTCTTCTGCCTTCATCTCTCTCTCTC